TGGCTCTAAAGAGATTTTATCAGGTAATAGAAAGATACAGTAATGAAGGAAAGTTAAGCCATGTGAATGGGGTGAAGGAGTGGCTGAAATCCCACCCCGATAATCCATAAACCAGAGTGGACTCTGACATAAAGCAAAGCTGCAATTTAGACTGTACCGGCTATTAACTTGTGATCAGTCAGAAAGGTTCTGGGAAAAAGCTTAACACTATAGAGCCACCTAAAAAGGAAACTTGATAAGCAACTGACTAATGAAAATTATTTTAAACCCTATAGAAATATTTAATTTCATTCAGCCACTGAAACTACAAGTTGTTTTTAGCAATTTAAAAACTTAGTTACTGGCTTTGGCACTAGTTATTTCATGCATTTGAAAATAGTAAAGCTAAATTTAAAAAAAGCAACTTGCCTTCCTTTTTCTTTTCAAGATTACATTTTACCACAAAAACAACTGTAAAATGTATGAGGCATGATCATAATTTGAAGACCTGCATATAAATTAAATAAACAAAAATACACTTGTATTCACATTTTTCTTCCAGAATCTATCTCATGTACTCAACAGCAATTGCTTTCCATTAAGCCAGTAAATTTCAATATTTTTGTCCCATTTTTCTCAAACTTACTTATTTGACAAAAAGTAGACAAAACAGCTATATGCCAATTACAACATATACTGTTCTATTTTAAAACATTTGACATTCAAAATTCGGAAGTGTGTTAAAATAAAAACTAGCCATGTCCTTAATTCTTAACCCTAAGTGGTGGTATGTATAGTGTGTATACATACATATACACATTCACTGTATTTGATGTCGGTATAATTTGTGGAGGGGAAGGGGAAAAACAAATCGTTTAAATAGGGATACAGTGTGGACCCATTGCAACAATGAGATGTACAAGTCATTAGGTCGAAAACAAACTTTACAACTTTGGTGGTCGGGGGGAGTGGGGAGGATTGGGTGGGGGGCGGGAGGAGGATGGGAAGAGATGGGAAGGGAAAACAAAGGAGGAGGCTACAATGCTTGATAAGAAATGTACTCATTATCTTGGCCATGTATTTGTAACCCCTCTGTACAGTATTTTCACAATAAAAATAAATAAATAAAAAGAAATGTGCATAATATGCAATTCTGTTACAGAAAGAACAATTGAAGTTCAGAAAGATGAAGTTATACAAAATCACACATCATTATTGGAAAGTAAAGTTGTCATATGTTTATATGATCCAAATTCCAAGCTATTTCTACTCCAAGACACTTCAGTCAAAGATGAACAGAATTTACCTTCGAGGAGATTGTAGCCCAAAAGCTACACAAAGCAGAGAATAAATGGAGTGATGCTGGCCAGGGCCAGCTAGTGAGCTATTCACATAGAAAGGCGTCTAGTAGGCAACTGCAGAAAATAAGGAAAGCAAGCTTAAAGATATGGATCTGACAGAAACTATATCACATTAAACCCCCTCATCTATTAAAGAATCAGATGAGAGAAATATAATAGCACAATATTAGGATAATAATACTCATTTGATAATTAACTGTGAGTTGTAATTTCTTGGCAGAGAGGAAAATTTAGCCTTTGCAACCTTGTTGGGAATGTTTTTCAGGGTGAAGACAGAAAATAAAGAGGTCCCTGGTATTATGTTGCTAGTATCTTTTCATATTGAATCTTAGACCAAATACAGATTGCCTTTGGAGGGTAAGTTTACAATATTCAGTATAATTTCAACACGTTTTTATTTTAACTTTTACAGTAGAAAGCAGCAGAATAAAAATAATTTTTGAATATTTAAATGCATTTATTAGGAATAGAAAAATTGAAATAAATCTCTCCTGAAGTTTATTTCAAGATGAAAGTGAACAAAGATTCCAGTAGAACAGAAACTTAATTTTTACACAAATAGGCATAAATCAACTCATTTCTCCTATCCTTGCTCTCCACAGCTGCTCAGCCTACTGAGGAGGCAACTGCAGCTTCAACCCAGAATGGTGTATTACCAATGAAATTTCTCTGCAGTGTCTTATATGGCTTGGTCTTGAGAGAAATAGCTTTTTCATCATCCACAATCATGTTACAGACTTAACTAGTTAAAAAAAAAAACTCTTAAGTCCAAAATTCTGGCTCGATGGCCTACATATCTAAACAAGCAATTTAACCTCTCTGAGTACTGATTTCTCTAGCTATAAAAGAAGAATAACCTCTATTTAACATGACTTTTGTAGCAACTACATAAACTAAGTATTGAGCAGAGTTAGAAGATGAATAAAATAAATCACAGTAATACTACAGATATAGTGCTTGAGAGCATAGGAAAATTACGACTGGAATAAATTTCTAGTCCAGGCTTGGTTAAAGTTTGCTGGGGGGTGGGAGTGGGGAGTGGAAGTAGAAGTAATCAGGAGGTAATACTAAAGCCAAATGTTAAAGAAAAAGCTAAAATGTAGATAAGCCAAGAGTGTTGTCTCCAGCCTGTTACCCTAAGTACTTGGGAGGTAGAGATCAAGGGATTATGGTTTGAGGCCAGTCCCAGCATAAGAGTTAACTATACTTCTCAACCAGTGGCTGGGCACAATGGGACACATCTTCTATCCTAGTGACAAAGGGAAGCATAAATAGGAGGTATGCAGACCAGGATAGCAAGGGCACAAGGCAAGACACTACCTTGGAAATAACCAGTGCAAAACATGTTGGCTTAGTAAGCCTGAGGCTCTGAGATAAAACTGTAGCCCAGCCAAAACAAACAAATAAGCAACAGCAGACAAAGAAAGAAAGCATACTTCATCCAGAACAAAAGAAAAATGAATGAGCAATGTGATAGTATGCAGGCAACTTCACATTTAGACATTTTGGTGTTTAGGACAAGGTCTTGCTATATAGCCCAAGGTGGCCTCAAACTTGCGATCTTCCTGTTTGTGCCTCCCAATGCTGGGATTTCAGGTGTGTGTCATAATGCCCTGCAGATCTTGATTTTGGGGGGGATAGGGAGACTACTGAAGCTTGAACTCAGGGCTATACACTTGCTAGAGAGAAGATACATCACTTGAGCCATACATCCAGCCCTTTTGCTCTGGTTATTTTTAAGATAGGGTCCCACTTCTTGCTTATATCAATCTAGACCATGATCCTCCTATTCATGCTCCCTGCTATTGCAGGATGCATCCCACCATGCATAGGTATTAGTTGAAACTGAGTCTCAAGAGCCTTTTGCCTAGGCTGCACTAGAACCATGATCCTCCCAATCTCTTCATCCTGAGTAGCCAGGATCACATATGTGAGCCACTGACACCTGGAAGAACTTGACATCTTTAGATATTAATGAAAGGGAACCCTGGTAATTCCCAGATTGAACCCATATAATCATGACATGTAGTAAATCTTTCATTTTGAAGAGGTGTAAATTTGAATTACAAAATAGGAAAGGCTAACTAATGCATGGAGGTATAAAGAAGACGACTTCTGAGAAAGCAAGGTGAGCAGAATGATTGGTGATACATATATATATATATATAGAGAGAGAGAGAGAGAAAGGTTTCTATGAAAATATGAATTCAGTTTTGACATTTAAGTGCAGAAAGACATTTCTTAAAGAGACTAAGAATGAGAGATAAGAATTCAGAAAATTATTCAGCCGTATCTCTCAGAGTTTAGAAAATTCATGTATGGACAGGAAGTAATTGAATCAATAATATCAAATAAATTATTTAGGGATACTATAAAGAGCAAGAAAACTATGACCAAATTTGTTTATTTTTTTGCGGGGGGAGGGTCGGTCGGTCATAGGGCTTGAACTCAAGGGCCTAGGCTCTGTCCTTCAGCTCTTACGATCAAGGCTAATGCTCTGCCACTTTGAGCCATAGTGCTATATCTGGTTTTTGGTAGTTAATTAGAGATATGAGTCTCATTTACTTCCTGCTCTGGCTGGCTTCAAACCCAGATCCTCAGATCTCAGCCTCCTGAGTACTAACATTACAGGCATGAGCTATTGGCACCCGGCCAAATTACTTCTTATATATGCCATTTTAATTCAGACTTAATGGAAGGAAGGTAAGCATAATGTTTGCTCTATGCCCAACATTAACCTCTCCAAACCATGCTCACTAATGACGGAGGCACTAGTACAAATAAGTAAAAACAAGGGTGACAAGAATGTGCTTTTCATTTTCAGTCAATGTTATTATTGTTAATATTGTTATGAAATATGTGACTGTCAAGCAAGTATGCAGAGTTAGGTTACTAAGTTTTAACTGTCATGATAAAGATTTTGAATCTAAGCCTTTAGGTTTCAGTGCTCACTAATTTTCAAGAAAAGAAGGCATAGCAGAGCCTTTGTGAATAAAAAGCCTCATAGATGATTTCCCTGGAGAACAAATACCAGAATTTGTTCCAAACAATGGGAAGGAGCTATAGACATTTCAGCATTGAGTTTTGTAATGAAACAGAAATTGGGGAAAAATCATGGGAAGGGCTGATAGAATAAAAAGGTCAGGAGGCAATATACAATCCAAAATCATGGATTTTAGTTAGACTGGTTCAAACCCAGTGGTAACTATACTAATAGCTTATCTATACTTGAATTCACTCACAAGTCAAAACACTAGTAACTATTTCAACGGGCTGCAATGAGAATTAACGAAGCAAATGCAATAAATTTAAATAACATTAAAATGAATATGAGTTTTGGTCTGTGACTGTATATTGTAATAATGATAAAAACAACTGTCACCTAGCAAATCAGATTTAAAAAATAGAACTAAAATCTGAATTTTAGAGTTAAACCAATTAAAAAACTTCAATCCCAGTTTCAATTGGTATAAAAAATAAACTATTTTAAGAGTGCAAATCAACTCATGTTGTACACACCACAGAGCAATTTAGTTTATACTTAATATGTATCTAAAATTGCTGTGCTAGCTAAAACAGGAGGAGAAGATATAAAAATAAGAAAAAGTAAGATGCTAATCTTTTATAATTCAGAAGAAAGGCAAGCTAGTTAGAAATTACCTGACTAACTCGATTTACTTCTTCCTCTTCTTCTTCAGCTTCTTCCCCAAATGAAAGTAAACTAAAATTTCTAGTAAAAGTAAAAAAACACAATAAAGAAACAAAAAAAATAAAAGAAAATTAGGAAGAAAAAGTTAGACAAAACTCATACACTTCCTATTTTCAAAGGAAGAGAACAGACTAAAAAGAGGTACATTGTGACTATTTAAAGATGGTATTACTTAGATAATATTACAATATTACTCAGGCCATCAATAGTTCATATATTATATTGAACCAGTGACCAAAATCCATCCTGGTCATGGTTATGTACTGAGTCAAGCAAGATGGATATAATTAAGCTTTTGATATTTACCAAACTAGTGGCAAGATGTAAATTTCTGAATAAGTAATACAGATGCCTAAAACAGCACAAATATGGAACAATGTATCTTATTTTAAAATATATCTTATTTTAAAATTAATAAAGAACACAAAATTTCCAAACCAAAAAAAATACTAAATTCATGGGGAGAAAAGTCTCCTTTGATCCTTCAAATTAAAAAACAAGAAACAAAAAAAAAACACCTCAAATAGAATACATAAATTAATTAAAGCTTTCTCAAATATTAGAAAAAATAAAGATCTGGCAATAAGGATGCTTTTTCACAATGTATTACAAGAAATGACTACCGCATCATCCCTAATATATTTGCTATTCATGAAAACAAAATACACACACACACACACACACACACACACACACACTTTTGAGCTACTGTCAAGATAAATCACAGAGATGTAATATTATAAATGAATATAGTAACAATGACCTTTCATAAGAATAAAAGAGTAGGAAGCAGAGCTATGTCTCAAGTGGTAGAGCTCTAGCCTTGAACAAAAGAAGCACAAAGAATGCATGCAGGCCCTGAGTTTAAGACCCAGGACCAGCATGAAAAAATAATAATAATAATAAAAACTGAAAGAAAATCAAATGTACAGTTAAAGAAGCGTTTCCCTCAGATCATCAAGTGCTTACTAAACTATCTGGCTTACCACTTAGCTTATAAAAGCAACTTTATTTATTTTGTAGGATATGAAAAAAAGAAACTATTATGTATTGAATACCTATACTAAAAAGAAAACAAACTAAAATTTCTAGTAAAAAAGAATAGCAAAAACTATAGGATGCTTGCACATAACCTTTCTGACTTAATCTTCCCAACGACTTGATGCTGAATTTGTTATAAGCTCTGTTTCACATAACCAGGTACCTGAAGCTCAGCAAGATTAGTAAACTTTGCTTTTTATTTACTGGGTATGTCAGGATTATACTTATTGTCTGAACCTAACATTTATCTAAAAGTGTTGCTGTAATTCAGTAAAAGAGCAAGTTGAAATCCAATTCTTACCTATTTTAGTAAAAATGAAATATTAATAATGTGAAGAACATTGTCACAAAATATTAAAATTTATTTTAAAAAGAAACGTCTATTTTTATAATGCTATCTTCAGTAAATAATACAAAGTTCTAAATGAAACAGCTTTACTTAAAAATATTTATAAGATTGCCAGGTGCTGGTGGCTCACGCCTGTAATCCTAGTTACTCAGGCTGAGATCTGAGGATCGTCCAGCTTCCCAAATTCTTTATAATGAATACCTATTAATTTTTAAAAAACAAAGTTTTTCACTAACTCACTTATATTAAATATATATCTTACACAAATTTTATATGGCATCTAGGATGGCACAGTTTTAGCTAGGTTTAAGTTATATAATATATTTAAATATGAGAAATGTTCTATTGAAAATAAAACCCACACTCATAATTCTGAACACTCCCCCACTCAAATTGGCTTTTCACTTACTAGTAAATATCTACCAAACCAAACTAACTAACTTAGTGCCACTTTTAAAGTTTAAAATGAATATTTCTACTTTGATTACTTTGTGCCTTTAGGTTTCAATTTCTTGACTTCCTCCTCTGGTTTCTCCTTTTTGATCTTTTTAATTTCCCTTGGAATGATGTCATCAAAAGGATTAAACAAAACCTACAAAATGAAATATTTTGAAAATGTTATTCTAGTTTTAAATTCCACAAAAAATTAAAAACAAACATTAATTGTATTGACATTACAGTCTAAAATTGTCCTCATATATACATTACTAGTCTAGTGATAAATAAACTATACAGAATACTTATACTTACATGACCTATTTGTATCTTCCTAATAAGCTATGTGCTACTTAAATAAAAGTAGTGTATTTTATCCTTATTCTACAAAAGCAAAAAAGATAATTAGAGAATTTAAATGAGATAAAGGAAGAAAAACCAAGATAGTCTTAAGAAATTTGCTTCCTCCCTCAATATGAGGTAACTTTTAAGTCACCTATGAAATCATTTCTTTGGGCTAACTAAACCTAATTCCTATAACATTCCATTATAAATGGAGCTTTACATTCATTGGATTATCATCTAAAGTTTCATCTTTGAACTTAAAACCCCCCAATTAAAGTTTTGTTTTGTATGTTAAATTTGTTTAGTTGCTTGGTCAACAAAAATCAATAAAGTGAGAAATCATAATTACTAAGAAAGTTACTTTTGCCATTGACTAGGACCACTAAAGAGATGGTTGAAGAATCAGAGAAAAATTATTTTTAAAAAATAAGAGAAACATTCTTTTACCCATTCTTTTACTTCATAGGTACAAACTAAAGGATATCTTGTGAAATGGAGACATGGAAGAGTCAGAGGAAGAGAATGCTCAAAGTATAGTAACCTTGTGCTCTTTCTCCTATGTCACTGACTAGTCACAGGTTGTTCATGCTCAGCCTCATCTGTAACCACAGATGTTCAGTCAATCTCTCCATCTCTGGTTAGGCTGTTACTAGAAAATCAGTGCAGCTACCTACCTCATTCAAAAACATTCTTACTTAAATACTGTGTTTAAATAAATCAGGATCATGGTATACTTAGTATAAACCTTCATCCAATAGTTTCAACTTGTGAATGATTAGTTCTTCTTAAATGACAATATAAGTCCTCTATTGCATAATAATCATGCTCCTACCTCACTACTTCTGATTTTGTGTGGATTTCGTGGTCTTTCATCTTCATCAACATCAACTTCGGTGAGCCGCAGCATGTTGTATACTGTGTCCCCTGTAACCTTGCAAGTAAAAATATAAATTATTGCAATTGTTATATTTATCCTTTAATAGAGAACTTTTGTAAACACTTTTTGTAAATAACTGAAAGGGAATTTCACATTATTACATCAGAATATATGTAATAAATAATTAAAATGAAGTAATTTCATTTTAAGGGGAAAGCAAGATAAGTTCGATCACTCAATAAAGTTTCTTGAAATTTTCTATTACAGGCTTAATACTTAAAACAAAAATAAATGACAACTTTTATGCAAATATCATCAGCAAATTAGATTTTACAATAAGCAAATAGTAACAATGTGATAGATACTTTGCAAATATCTCACTTAATCTACCAAAACACACTAAACAAACTATCATTATCCTCTTTCAATAGCCATCACATCTGAGTCTCAAAAAGTTACAGACCCAGCAACAGTGGTTTTCCAATTCACAACCTTTATATTCTTTGTTGTCTCTAATTACTCTCTAATTATAAATTTTAAAAAATCAATTTTCTGCATAACTTAGTCAAAACCTGTATTGGGAGTGACACAAAAGAATAGAACAATATATATTTCCTTGCAAATGTTAAGAATTAAGCAACAATGTTAATTTAATTATTTGTGTCACTCTTAAATTCAACATTTCTTAAGATTTTAAAATACCAACTTCCCAACTGTACTGTTTGTTTTCTCTAACCCATTCTGCTTAGGAAATACGAAAGCAATTCATACTGAACCAGCAGGGGGTGCTGATAAGCTACTAATGTTTAACATGTCTAGGAATTAAAATGTACTGGAATGTATTTATATTGAAACATACAGGAATAAATGAGAGAAGTGTGAAAGAAGGAAACCTTCAGAATGCTTTTTAAAGAAAATCGTTGAAAACTCTGTAGAAGAACATTTTGTCAGATGACATTGTAAGTTAGCAGGAGTAAATAGTCCTATTCAAAGTAGTATTTCCAGTAACCTTTCAACATTAATATAACTTCCACTTTAAGTTTAAATTAATTCACCTCTAATAGAAAATATAAACTATAAAATGTTACTGCCTGAATGCCTTTCTAAAAATCTTAAAAACAATATTGGCTGAGTGGGATAGCTGCTAATATTACTAGTCTGATTTTAAAGGGAGCACACATTGCAGTCATAACAAATGATCGACTTGAAACATGCAATAGTGAATTCAGGTAGTCCTTTCCAGTTAATATTCCATCCTAATTAAAATAACAGATAAATATTGGGAATATTTTCAGGAAGGCGGCTGTTAAATAACTTGATCATATGTACCATAGAAACATAACAACTAAGATTTTAAAAGAATAGGACAGGATGACTTGCCACTAACCTTTCCGAAGATGGTGTGCTTATTATTAAGTTCATCTGCTCGACCCAGTGTAAAGAAAAACTGGCTGCCATTATCATGAGGACCAGCATTTGCCATTGCAACCAAACCTCGCCGATTAAAACGCAACCGAGAGTGAAATTCATCCTGAAGCATAAAGATTTAGTGAACACCTCAATCATAAAACCTTTCATATTCAATCAGACCAGCAATGACAAAAATGATTTCTAATGAAAAGTGCTCAGGTTTGGTTACCTACTTTTCAAGCATAATCAAATCAGTTTTCTCATGACATTTACTACTTCTTTCTGTATATAAACCTAAATTCACTAGCCTCCAGGTATCTTCTAAATATACTCAGCCACAAACATATATAGCCCGTTCTATGGAACTCTGTTTACTTATGAATAGAGGAGGATACACAAAGAAGAATAGATTTTTAAAGCTCATTGCTTTGCCAGGTATCATTGGCTCATGCCTGTAATCCTACTACCCAGGAAGCTGAGATGAGGTTCAAAGCCAGACTGGGCAGGAAATTCCATGAGATTCCTATCTCCAATTAACCACCAGATAACTGGAAGTAGCACTGTGGCTCAAGTGGTAGAGCACTCGCTTTGAGCTGAAGAGCTCAGGGACAGCACCCAAGCCTAGAGTTCAAGCCCCACAACCAAAAAACAACAACAACAACAAAAATTCATTGCCTTATTCTCATCCTTCAAAGTCCTCTAAATTTGTAAGTCCTATTATTTTTCTAAGAGACCTATCTTTGAAACATTATGAAATCTTCACTTAATCCTATTCCCCACCCTACTGTAATAGAAGCAATTACTTTCTTCTTTTAATTCAAGAAATACACCATGATTAGTTACTTTGATTGTACTGCATTTATTAAGTCCTAAATTTAATCTCCCCTAACTGGGACTAGTTAGGAGATATTAGTTACAATTGGCTGTCTTCAAAGAAGCAAGTATACGCTGTTGACAGCAGTTCTCTCCTCTTCATAGGCTCTTTCACTGATTCCTTAATAGCTTAGTAGAATTTCTCTCTAGACCTGACAATGGAATCATATATATTAGTCATTCTATGTAATTCATTATTTTTGCAAAAAGAAGCCATTTTCCCTTTATAAATAATTTTAAGAGATCTGAATTCAATGGATCACAACTGTGTAGTACATTTAAAAGGACCCAATTGAAAAACTTAACAAGAAAACTACGTTACCTGAAAATAAGAAAGTAAAAATCTCATATTAGGAAGAACCAAATAATAGGATACAGGAATGCTTCCTAACAGGTCTAAAATTATAAGACATGGCTCTGGTACAATCTAAAATACTTAACAGTGATATTGGAGGATTCTTTAATGACCATTTCATATTTTTAAGGCCATTATCATTTGGAAACGAAATCAGTGAAAATATTTTTCTCAAGAGTCACAGTAGGACCCAGTAAAAGATAAAAGAAAATCCAGAAACTCCTTCCCTTAGCGTATGTGTGTAGTTTTCAAAAACTCCCCTTTTAGAAGATTTGCTTATTCACTCAAAGGATTTAATAATGGTACCATGAGATTAATAATAAACATAACTTCAGTGTACTTGGATCCACTGTTGCTCCTAATCTCTTAGGTCTATCAATTTTTTTTCTTAGATCCCTACTGGCAGTTAAGAACCATTAGCCTATACTTGACTAATACATCTCTTTTCTTACTTTCTTTATGTCTCTTCTTCCTTCTGTTCTCCTTGTGATTTTCTATTATAGTATGCATTTTGTGCCACAGAGAACTATTTATGTAGTTGGTGATAAATTTTACTATAAAGGACTGAATTGTGCCCTTCAAATTTTTTATATTGAAGACCTATCCTCCAATGTGACTCAATCCAAGCTTGTGAAGAAGTGCTGAGAGTAATAAAGATGAAATAAGGACATGAGAGTTGGGCTCTACTTCAACAGAGCTTATCTCCTGGAAGAGACACCAGAACTGGCTCTCTTTTTCCCCATGTGAAGACTAGAAGGCAGTCATCTGCTACAGAAGAGACCTCAACAGAAGCCACATTGGCAGACTTCACAGCCTCTAGAACTGTGAGAAAGAAATCCTGTTGTCGAAACCACCCTCTCTCAAGTACTTGGTCAGACTAGACTAAGTAAAACTACTACAGATTCCAGATGATGTAAATAAAACATTATAAAATACCGTATGCAATATCCTAAAAAATTTCTCATTTATAAACCTGCAGAGATTAGATAGACATCAGGAAATAAGCTCTGTGGGCCTTCTTTTCTGAGTCACATTTTTTTCCAAAATCATTTTTAGCTCCACCTGAATTCAATCTAGCATAAAAGGTTGAAATAAGAAACTCAGAAAGAATGCTTGACAGCATAATGGCTGCTGTTATACTGGCATAATTTTATACAGCTGATTTTGTATACTATGTGAGATGGTTTTTCTTTTTGTGGGACATAATCACTTTTGATTAAGCAATCGAAGCTGACTTGCAATAATAATAGCTCAGTTTTACCTTGAATGGAGCTCCATAAATAGACTCTCCTCCAGTCCCTGTACCGGTAGGATCTCCTCCTTGGACTATAAAACCAGGTACAACTCTATGAAAGATGGTGTTGTCATAATACGCTGAAAAAAATAAAAATTTAATATATAAGTTTCTAAAATTAACTATATCTACAATTCTGTAAAACTAAAGCCATAATAGTTATTTTCTAGAATATTCAAACCAAAACCATATCTTCCCTACTACTTATAAAATACTCTTCATAGAACATTTTTGTACATAAACCAAGATTCTCAAACTCTGGATTACTGTTTGCAAAATAAAAATTAAGAGGGTAGATAAACACCATTGGTTCTCAACTGAGGGGAAGAAACAGTGCAAAGTTGTACTCAGTATTGCTGGCTCACAGCTGTAACCCTAGCTACTTTGCTTGAGCAGCAAAGTCCGTGAGATTTTTGCCTCTAATTAACTACCAAAAAACAAAACAAAACACCAACAAAAAATGGGTTTATGAGACTTATATCTCTAATTAACCACCAAAAAAAAAGGCAGAAATAGATCTGTGGATCAAGTAAACTAGGCTTGAGTGAATAAACTAAGGGAGAATGACAGACTGAGTTCAAGCCCCAGTAAGAGCACACATACAAATATATATATATATATATATATATATATATTTATATTTATATAACATGTTATATATAATATGTATGTATGTATGTATATATATACATATATATGTATTTTGAGTTCAGCATTGGATTTGTTTTCCCAAAACAACAAACTGCCAGCATGTTGAATGGACTCAAAGGAGAAAGTTGGAGAAACTATCATTCCAACATTTAGGAAGCCAGACCTATAAGAAACAGATATATTAGATGTTAGGGAAGGAACATGAAAGATGTTTTTATTACTCATGTTTCAAACTTTAAAATCACTTCATCCTATTCTTTTTCTTCCTATTCCCATTAAGTATTTCATTATGTCAGTTTTGTAATTCAAAGTTTTCTTTAAAACTTTCCTAGGAGGATAGTGTTCTAGACCCACTGAGGCAAAAACAGACCTGATTTCAAAAATGGAAACAAAAGGAGTCAGAAGTATGGCTTAAATAGTAGTGCATCTGCCTAGAAAACATGAGATCTTGCATTCAAATTCAAATTCCATCCCCCCAAAAAAGAAATGTCTTTTAACTTGTGCCTTATTTATTTAGTTATTTATGTTCACTACTCTTAAGGAATTAATGACTATTATTTAGTAAATAGAATCAAATGTAACTGGAAAAGACAGACAATGCAGAGACAAAGCTGAATAAAAGAGATGAAAAGATGAACACCTGCATAAATTAATTTTATTCTCTCCTCATGCTTTATAAGAACAAATGGAATTATCATAGTTAACTATTAATGGAGCTATTGGTTTCCTTTAGTTTTACTACTTTCCATTCTCACCTGTACAGTAATTTTTTACCCTACTTTTTCAATTGACAGTTTTACAACTTTATACTTCTGGATTGTAGACTTCTTTTCAATTGTGATCACAATTTTAATTGAGGGGACTATGTTCTACTTCCCCATGCTTTTATTTGTTTGTTTCTATATTCTAGAAATTGCTTTTTGTTGTAGTTGGTATACTGATATGAGTGTTACAAGATCTAGGTACACTATGACTTATTTAAATCACACAAAGAATTAAAATGGGATCCTCTGAATTACAGTTTAAAACTTTGATTTGATCATTTATTTATTTATTTATTTTAGTTAGGAGTGTTGTGGTCAAATCAGTCTTCAGACATCACACTAGCATTTCCAATAAAAAATAATTCAATCTCCTGACTGTTTAACTAAGAGAATTACTCTGCTTATTTTTCTTATTATTTTTCCATTCTCTTTTCTTCTTCCTTGTACTCTTATACATCAGAGAATAACTTTCTGTTATAATTGAGCTTCATCATCATCCAGTAAAAGAAGACTCTCATTTTCTATTTACTCAGAAATAGATACCCTCTGTTTCTTCCATTCACCTGGTCATAAGTTGCAGTTTTACCACTCATTCTTTCTAATGTTTTTGTAATTTCACTCTCCTGTAAAATTTGAGCTTCTGATTCATCAAAACATCTTACCAGAAACAAGTCTGAATTTTCTGTCTTTTGTTTCTTAGCTTTGTTGACAGTTATTTGAGGTCTCTCTAACTAAACTACCTGTCTGAATCTATTTCCTTCCTGCCTGCCATAGCAATTATTAATAATGATCATTGCAGATGTCCTTTCTCTTCTCTCTCTCCTCTCCTTTGTTCCCTCCCTCCTTCAACCCCTCACACCCATTTTTTTTATTCCTTGGTAGATAACTATTTGTTTAATTATTTGGAGAGTCAAATATACCAACCACTGAACGTTGTGGATTCTTTTTCTACCTTGTTTCTGATCTAAAAGGCTATTTTCTGGTACCCTGAATAACATTTAAAATCAGGAATAACTTAGGAGGACAGTGATTATCCATCACTATCAATATTTTAAACAATACACGATATATTCCAGAAGTCAAGAAGAAGCTACAAAAAATATTTGAGCGAGGGGCCAGTGGCTCACACCTGTAATCCTAGCTCCTCAGGAAGCTGTGATCCAAGGTTCTCAGCTTGAATCAAGCCAAGGCAAGAAAGTCCACAAGACTCTTATCTCCAATAAACTACTCAGAAAAAGCTGGAAGTAGTACTATGGCTCAAGTGGTAGAGCACTAGCCTTGAGTCAAAGAAGCTCACAGACAACACCTAGGCCCAGAGTTTAAGCCCCAGGACTAGCAAAAAAAAAAAAAAAAAAGTAATAAAATTAAAATATTTGAAATGCTTACTTCCATAAGAAATTGCTCAGAAACAAAAAACATTCAAGTGAAAAAAATATCCTTATATGATAGAAATCTTAGAAACAAAACAAAACAAAACTAGAGATAGTGATAAGAACCACAGTGAAGTGCAGAAACTGGAATTTTGAACCGATAATTTAAAAATAGGTAGAATTAAGTAAAATAAGAGAAAATATACCAAAAAAAGGAAAACTAGTATGAGAATAGGAATGGAAGTACAAGTGGGAAGGAAGGGTTCAAATATAAAGATAATTATCACCAAAACCACATGTTAGTATAATGAAAAACACAGATGGAAAGGTAGGAAGCCTGAAGATTTAGATATCAGATATGCAAATGGAGGGGAAAGAAAGAAGGGGAGAGCAAAAGACTAGATAAAAGGCAATTATAGCCATCAAGGTAAAAGTCAAGACTGTTGAGAGAAGAAATTGGTACATTTAGTTATACCTTGGTTTAGCTGATAGTGGAAGTTTCAAGTCCACTAAGCAATTAAATAAATTACTGTTAAGAGGGAAGAAATAGAGTTCTGAACATGAGAGTCATTTGGATGGAAGAAAACAACAAAAAAGTGAAGGCAGATGGCTGCTGGTAGCTCACGCCTGTAATCCTAACTCCTCAAAGGGCTGAAATCTGAGGATCATGGTTCAGAGCCAACCTGGGCAGGAAAGTCCATGAGATGTTAACTCCAACTAACCACCAGAGAACTGGAAGCAGAGTTGTGGCTCAAAGTGGTAGATTACTAGCATTAAGCAGAAAAGCTCTAGGACAGTGCCAAGGCCCTGACTTCAAGCCCTATGACCAACAGAAAAAAAAAAAAGACAGAGAAGAGAGAATTTGAGGCAAACTTGGGAATAGTCATATTTAGAGAATGAAAGAGAGAAAAACAGAATGAGTTAGCAGACGAGACTAAAGAGATCAATTTCTCTATTTATAAAGGATATAGATTTATTTAGGAAAGACCTGACATCCTTTCTATTTTCCCACACATAGCTTAATGTCACATAATGCTATCTAACATGACTCTTCACTGTTGTGAAAAATACAATGCAATTTGTCTTTAAGTGAACAAAATTTTTTCCCACAGAATACTGCTCAAGTTGTACCTACCTTCCAAACAAAGCTGAATGAAATTCCGGCAAGCTTTAGGAGCTTCTTTTGACCACAACTCTATATCAATATCTCCAGCTGTAGTTTTCAGTAAAACCTGTAGGAAGAACATATCACTATATTAAATTTTCATTTTGCTTGATGATCAGTTGAACAGCTACTCAACTTGCAGCATTCATTTTCAATTTTAGAAGAAATACTATAATCTTTACTAGGCTTTTTTTGTTATGACAAACAAATTGTCAGATATTCATGGCACATTTAAATCACTCATACTATTTTCAGAAAAAGATCAAGATTTAAGAAAAATACTATACAAATAGTATATGCTTTCTTCAATTTTTGCAGTATAGGGGCTTGAACATTAGGTTTGGCGTAGATACTATCCCTTGAGTTCTGAAACAAGCCCTTTTTGCTCATTATTTTCACAATATGGTCTTTCTTTTTGCCTGGGCTAGTCTCCAATTTTATATTTCCCGATCTTGACCTCCTGAAAAGCTAAGATTATAGGCATGGACCACCACGCTAAGCTAGTATATACTTAAAAAAAAATACTGGGGCGGAAGGGGGTTAAACTTCAGAGGTCACACTTGCTCAGCTGGCAATTTACAACTTGACCCATACCTCCAGAATAGTGTTTTTTGCTAGTTATTTTTGCAGATAGAGTCTCACAAACTTTTTCTACTCCAGCTAGCCTCAAACTGTCATGCTTCAAATCTTAGCTTCCTTAGTAGCTAACTTTTTTAATCACAGGAGAAAAACAGCATTCATTTGAAAACCAGTAATGCAAACTTGATTACTAAAGAGTTTCTTTTTCTATTACTGCAATAAGATTTATTCAGGAAACTAAATAACTTAAAAAGACATGAAATCCTTGAATTAGTACACATTAGACAGTTTTATAATTACTCATTTTGCAATTACTCTACCTTCATATTTAAAATCATGCTATTCCTAATTCAGAAAATAATATTTTAATCTAATATTGTTGATGACTTCTTAAATGTTATACCTTAAAAAAATAAAAAAGCTAAAGCCATTTGCTCTAAATTCAGGAGTGAGACAAGGATGTCCACTATCTCCACTTCTCTTCAATTTAATATTAGAATGCCTAGCTAGAGGAACAAGACACGATCCAAATAGGAAAGGTGAAGTAAACTTCTCCCTCATTGCAGATGACATAATCTTGTATTTAAAGAAGCCCATGAACTCCACTCCCAAGTTACTCGAGCTGATTCAAAACTTTGGCAAACTAGCAGGGTATAAAATTAACCCTCAAAAAACAATGGCTTTTCTGTATGCCAACAATGAGAAGAGCATGGCTGAAATCAGGAAAGCAACTCCTTTTGTAATAGCCCAGCCCCACAAAAAATAAAATACCTAGGAGTTAACTAAAGAAGTGAAAGACCTCTATGATGAAATTAAAAACCTGAAAAAGGAAATCAAACCAGCACTAAGGAAGTGGAAAAACCTCCCAGGCTTCTGGATTGGGAGGATTAACATCATGAAAATGGCATTTCTACCAAAGGTTATCTACAAATTCCATGCAATACCCATAAATATTCCAACCTCATTCTTCAATGAAATAGAAGAAGCAATCCAAAATTCATATAGAACAATAAAAGACCCAGAGCAAAAACAATCCTTAATAGAAAGAACACTGCTGGAGGAATATCAATATCAAATTTCAAACTCTACTACAGAGCCATAGTAATCAAAACACCTTGGTACTGGCACAAGAACAAACCTGAGGACCAATGGAATAGGACTGAAAACCCAGAAATGTACCCACAGACCTACAGCCACCTAATCTTCCACAAGGGAGTTAAAAAAAAAATAGAATGGAAGAAAGACAGCTTCTTCAGTATCTATCACCCTGCACCAGAATCAACTCCAAATGGATCAAAGACCTCGGAGTCAAAGCAGATACCCTGAAAACATTACAGGAAGGAATAGGAGAAACTCTAGGGCCCTTTGGCACAGGCCAAAATTTTCTTAATAAAGACCCAGAAACACAACAAATCAAAGAAAGGTTGGACAAATGGGATTGCATGAAACTGCAGAGCTTCTGCAGGCAAAGTATATAGCTAGCAAGATCAATAAAAAGCCCACAGATTGGGAAAGGATCTTCACTAATCATACAATGGACGAGGGTTTCATATCTAAAATATACTTAGAACTCAAAAAATTAAATCTTCCAAAACAAATCCTCAAAGAAATAACAGCCGGATTAATAAGTGGGCTAAAGACTTAAAGAGAGACTCTCTGAAGAGGAAATAAGAATGGCCAATAGACACATGAAGAAATGCTCAACCTCTCTAGCCATAAAAGAAATGTAAATCAAGACAACATTGAGATTCCACCTCACCTCAGTTAGAATGGCTATAATCAAGAAATCTAATAACAACAGATGCTGGGGGGGGAGGAGGGAGGAGAGGGGATGTGGCCAAAAGGGAATCCTATTACATTGTTTGTGGGAGTGTAAACTTGTTCAACCATTCTGGAAAGCAGTATGGAGGTTCCTCAAAAGACTACTGCCCTATAGCCCAGCAATCATACTTTTAGGCATTTACCCAAACGATCACAAACAAGGCCATACTAAAGCTACCAGCACAACTATGTTTATTATTGCAGCATTATTTACCATAGCTAAGATATGGAACCAACCCAGATGCCCCTCAGTAGATGAATGCACCAAGAAAATGTGGTATATATACACAATGGAATTCTATGCCTCCATCAGAAAGAATGACATTGTCCCATTTGTTAGGAAATGGAAGGACTTAGAAAAAATGATACTAAGTGAAGTAAGCCAGGCCCAAAGAAACATAGGTCCCATGGTTTCTCTTATCTGCAATAACTAGTATATGTCTATGAGAAGCAGAAGAGGTCAAAAGCTATGTACATATGACCATATAAGATAATGCTAAGCAAAATGAACCCCAAGATAGGGACACAAGAAGTTTTATCGTTCTTGCTGTTGTTTTTAACATACTTATAATGTGCTATGTGATTTTTTTGTTTCTTTTGTATGTTCTTCCCCCATGGTATTACCCCTGTTATCACTGTATTTTATTCCAGTGCCCCACATCTTGTATATACATTTTTCTAATTTGGGGAGGGGAAGGGAAATAACAAAATGCTGATATACGGATACAGGCTGACCCATTGTAACAATGAGATGTACAAGACACTATGTTGAAAACAAACTTTACAACTTGGAGGGAGAGGGGAGAAGGGGAGGGAGAAGTTGGGGAGATAGGGAGGAAAGGGATGGTGGGGGACAAACAAAGGAGGGGGTGACAATGCTCTATGGGAAATGTACTCATTACCTTGCTCATGTAACTGTAACCCCTCTGTACAATAAAAATACAATAAAAATACATCTTTAATTTAAAAAATCAGCATCAATAGTAAATAGAATCCTTTGATCTCTTGTCCACCAGCTCCTAACTGGTAATGCATTGGTGGAAGCAGCCATCCTACAACAACTAGAATTCCTTCCTTTATGTCTTATTTTTTCTCTTTGAATCAAGGATTAATCTCATACATGCTAGCACTCTAGCTCTAAGCTACATCTCTAGCCAACTAGAACTCCTTCTTAGTGCACAGAAGGAAACAGCTTATAAATGGCTTACAAACAACTACAAATGAATGAAAGGAATAGTTGGTTTGTAAATTTGAACACTGCAGCATAGTTGGAACTCAATTTCTCCAGGATCATTTTCCCTGTTTTGCCTCCAGTGTAAAAAATGTTGATTAATGTCAACAATCTGTGGCCACTACTGTCATTTAGGGTGTCATTTAGGAAAATTATTCCAGAATAATTTTCAAAATATGACTAGTTTTCATGGGAAGTCAATTATCATTGATATCATTCTTTTTAACCATCTAGACAACTATTTTTTGCCATTCCTGGGGTTTGAACTCAGGGCCTGGGCACTGTCCCTCAACTGCTTCTATTCAAGACTAGCTGTCTACCACTTGAGCCACAGCACCACGTCTGGCCTTTACTGTTTATGTGGTACTGAGGAATCGAACCCAGGGCTTCAAGCATGCTAGGCAAGCACTCTATCACTAAGCCACATTCCCAGCCAAGACAACTTCTTTACTAAGGTTCCACAAATGTGTTTGGGGAAATGGAGGAGGCTTAAAAATATATTCAAGCCAAGAGTCAGTGGGTCACACCTAAAATCTTAGCTGCTCAAAAAGGTGAGATATGGAAGACATTGGTCTGAAGCCAGCCTGGGCAGAAAAGTCCATGAGATTCCTTCTCCAAAATAATCACCAGAAAGCAAGGCTGAAGTTGTAGGTTCATGTGGTAGAGTGACAGCGATGAGCAAGCAAGTAAGTGTGAGGCCCTGAGTTCAAACCTTAGCACCAAAAAAGAAAAGAAAACTATTCTAGCAAGCTTGTCTTTTATGAACAACCAAAACTCAGAGAAGTAGTTGTAAGTTGTCCCTCCGTTTTTCCTACAACTGACTTTCAATTTCTGTTTCAGAAGCCCAGATAATTCTGTCACAAATTTACAGAACAGTGATAAGCATGTTCTATCTTTTGGGGATTTTTTTTTTGGGGGGAGCGCTAAGGAGTTCTCCTACAACTACTCTTCAGTGACTAACAGAATGGAAAAAGTAAGAATATTTACACTGTGGTAAATTTTTAAATGGCTCCTATAATCATGCATAAAAATTATAAAAGAATTGGAAACGTTGGGAAGGGGAAACAAAGGAGGAGGCTACAATGCTTGATAAGAAATGTACTCATTATCTTGCCCATGTAATTGTAACCCCTCTGTACAGTATTTTCACAATAAAAACACACACACACACACAACCAAAAAAAAAAGAATTGGAAACGTAAACAGGTCTGATTTTTTTCAATGCTTTATAGTTCCTCTTAAAAAAATAAGCAGCATGCAATGTGTCAACTTCTGTGAAAGACTCTTTATATTTCTTATCCTATTTAATATTCACCTGCCAGGTAGAAATTTTTAATGCTATTTTACAGAAAAAGAGGTTTATTCAAGCCCTTTATTAAGGGCTCTGAGTATATGAACCTGAACCAAAAAGGCTCTATGACTGCAAAGACTGTGCCTTTTCTATATCATCATAATGTTCTCCATATTTTCATACAACACTGGAAAAATAGTCCATCAAGTTCTAGGACTTTGCCATGTATAACAAAAGAAATCTCCATGGCTGCCATAGTTACAACTAATACAGAGAACAATGCCTAAATCAAAAGCAATCATATACTGTCTGACAATGAGCAAGACTTTCTAGTCTTGACATGAAATATACCTAAAAGTAATATCCTGCATTGGATGGTGACAACACAGCCCAAGCTTATTCTCATTCCCCTGGTAATGGATATAAACAGAGTCTGGATAACTCCCTCTACCTCAAAAAGTATCTGATTAGTACTATGTACCCTCTTCTGATGTTCCATGAGCGCTGACATTCATCATGTCCTATCCCCTATTCAATGAATTTTTTATTTAACTTTTTTTTCCTAATTTCCATTTTTTAATTTATTTTTTATGGTGAAAATTCTGTACAGAGGGGTTACAATTACATGGGCAAGATAATGAGTACATTTCTTATCAAGCATTGTAGCCTCTTTCTTTGTTTCCCCTTCCCATCCCTTCCCAGCCTCTCCCCACCCCCACACCCAATCCTTCCCGCCCCAAAGTTGTAAAGTTCGTTTTCAACATGACAACTTGTACTTCTCATTGTTGCAATGGGTCCACCTATATCCTTACTTAAATGACTTGTTTTTCCCCTTCCCCTCCACAAATTATAACGACATCAAATTCAGGGGTTATACTGTGGGGTAGGGACATACAAAGCAACAAAGAAATAATCTTATAAATACGTTAGAAACAAATGCATGAAAGAGAAAAAAACATTTAAATACATACCTTAGGGTTCATTTTCCTAACATCACCTTATCTGACCTTTTCTGCTTGACTCATATATTCAATGAATTTAAGAACAGTTGTTTACTTTGTAATTTTACGGCAAAATTCTCCAAGCTTTTCATAAATATGCCCCATTATAAGCAAAAAAGAGGGGAAAAAATGAAGGGATGGAGGCTTGAGGAACAGTAAGCACTTGGAGCTAAAACAACCAAAATATGTATATTTAAATACATAGTACACATTAGTATATTTTCAAAGTTGCATAAAATAAGAAATTTGTTAAAAGTATTTATACAGAAACATAAGAACTGCATTTTAAAAGAATTGTATTTTAAAATAATTTTAATTGTATTATTGATACACTATATCATTTTATAATATTTTGAGACATAACCCTCATATCATTTGACTTTAATAGTCATACAATTTTACAACCATTACCACTAATTCCAAAATGTCATCCATCACCCATGAAAGAATTTGTCCCCATTAACCATTACTTCCCATTTCTGAAACCTAACATAGAAATTGACATGGGCTTTGTAATATGTGTGTATGTATATATTTATACATATATGTGTGTGTGGATATGTGTATATATATATATATATATATATATATATATATATATGGCATGATCTCCTGTTCAGAAATGTATCCTTGTTAAAGATTTTCATCTACATGAAAATGTCAACTCATATTCTAGAGTTAAATAACTAAACTTGCTTTTGGCCAGCATAATTTCAGTATAATTTCAAACTCAACGGTTCTGAATACTTCTCAGAAACTAAAAGAACATAGAATTACTATTCACCCATCCATCCATTTTTTTCAGCACTATTTGAACTCAACTATGTGTCAAGAACAAGTCTAGATGCTGGTTTCTGTTTTTATAGTTTTTGTGCTCTATAGGGGGAAAAACAGGAGATACAATAACTAACATTGATACTACAGAAAACACTAAAAAGGCCAACAGGGCCAGAAATGCTGGGATGAAGGACATGACTGAGGTCTAATATTTCATAAGAAAATAGAAAAATGCTTGTTTGCCAAGGTTGACACTTTAACAAGTAAAAACTACAGGAAAGAACAAGTATGAATGACTTGCCTGGCAGGATAGGCAATCTAAATTATTCCACCTGTAATTGGTGTGGATAATGTCCTCAAGAAACATTTCGAAATTTATTTTCATACTAAAATAAGGTGGGGTGATGTAAGAGTAGAGGGTATTGCTCTGGAAAAGATTCCAACAAGAAAGAATCCAAAGAACTGTTTTATCTAAAACACCCACAAATTTAGAGCAAGGGCTGGGAATTATAGGACTTTTATTTTTACTTTCAAATTGTACTTATTGCATTATCAGTTTGGGTAATGTAAACTAACATGCCAATTTCAATTTACATAAAAATGTATATATAATTTAGCATGAAATGCAAAAAGACTATCTTCCAAATTTACATTATCCCTAATTCAAATATATGTTGCTTGTTTGTTTATTTTTGCAATGTTGGAAATCTGTTCTTGGGCTTTGTGAATGTTAGGTAGGTAAGTGCTCTACTGCTAAGCAACATTCCCAGTTCCTTAACTCTGTACATTCTATTCCACTAATTTTTCTATTATGCTAGTTCATCAAATACCAAATGTAATATAGATTAGATTTAGTTAAAAAATTCAAGTCACACACCCCACAGTTGACTGTTCTAGTTCAGACTATAAACAATCACATTGGATGGGTAGTGACATAACCTGGCCATGAAATCTCTATTAGAAATTATTTTCCTTTGAACATGGTTACATTCCCCACATTCTCTATTCTCTCATTTTAAAACCAGCTCTAAAGCTAGTATCCGCATGATGTTTTCCTGGCATTCCCAACTGCTCATTCCTCCTTTCATAACAATATAATCTTCTCACCCAAAGCAAACCTATCAAACCAGGCGTAGACAGCTCATACTTCTGATCCTAGCTACTCAAGAGGCCGAGATCCAGTCTGCCAGCCTCAGAAAAATCCACGAGACTCTTATCTCCTATTAACCACTAAAAAGTCAGAAGTGGAAATGGGTGGCTCATTGGTAGAGTACTAGCCTTGAACAAAATAAAAGCTAAGAGAAGAGACCTGAGTTCGAGCGCCAATACTGCCTGGCATACTGTGAGACACATCATCGTAAGGTTTTTCTTTACTCAAACTGAGTTAAGCTATTCTGTAGGTAACAATCTTACCCACCCATCTTTGCATCACCAGCACTTAGTAGTGTGAGGTGCCTAGCAGCCATTCAAAAAACGCTTGCGCACAGAGTATTGTCCAAATCGCGTAAGAATAAAATATATACATCTTTTTAAAAAGAATCAAGAGAAGGCGCCTGTATGACTTGGATTGCGAGCTGAAATGGGACTACACAAGGCAGGAGATGTCTGGATCTCGGTTTCAGAACCCGTTAGAGTAAAAGCTGGTGAGTTCAGGGTTAGATGTAACCCTGTCCATAGGCCCCCGGCAATCCCCGACCCCTCCGCGTCGGGGCATCACTGGGGGAAGCCTGGCCCACACCCAGGGGAACTCAGGCCTAGGCCTCCTCATCAGGGTACCGAGGGGAACCCAGGCGTACGCCGCCCAGTCAGGGTGTCACTGGGAACCGGTGGGGGTCTCACCTTCCCATTCGTGGGAGGTTCCTGGATGTAGATGTTGCTCATCCTGGCCAACGCTCAGAGATGCCGCTCCCTGGAAACGCACGCCGACGAGCGGTCACTAGAGCTGTCCGCCGACCGGTACCGGATTCTTCAAGTTCACTCCGCCCGGGAAAGCTTCACCGGGTCACAAGCTCGCACTAGAGCCAGACCGAAGCTAGCGCCTCACGGACGCCGCCATGTTGTTTATGGACCAGAACACCGCTAATCCTGAGAGGGGGAGGGATTCCAATGTCCTCCGGACAAAAGGTGACAGTTCCCCCACCAGATTGACATCAGTTTAAATGTAACTTGTACCAACGTTAAAACAGAAGAGTCTGAAACCATCGGGGTTGTGTTCACTTCACTTTAGGCATGCGCAGTTCACACTCACCTCTTTCCCCCCCCCCCGATATTGGCAATGATGGTTCGGATCATGTGTGTCATGAAATGTGCCTCTCCCGGAAACTGCATCCGCAACTACTTGGTTCCGCTATCCCTGGAGGCGCCCTAGGCCTTCCTGCTGCGGTGTGGACACGGGCCCCGTGTGTGGGTGAAAGAGACTGCTTTGACCCTGTGGTGCCTCCGCAGCCAGCGAGAAGAAAACGCATTTTTCCACATCTACTGGATCCAGTGACTTCTGTTACCAGCGACATGGCAGTGCCAGGTGAAGACCAGCAGCGGGATCCCTGCTTTCCAGCTTAGAAGGAAGCGGGTGGGGTATAGTGGGCTGAGGCTCAGTGGGGAAGGGACAGATTCGTGGCCTTAAAAATCGACAGATTCTGTTGGTTTACCTTTAAAGGTTTACGCTGCAAGTCTAAAGTAAAGAAAGAAACTCTCTTTCCCGACCCCAGCCCGTTCAGCTGCTCAGAATTACAGGGAAAGTCTCCTGTAGACGGACAGTGGATTATAGGCCTAGCGGGGCGCCGAGGGACGAGGACCATTGGCCTTAAGTTTTATGTGGCTTGAAAATAAAATCTGAAGTGGAAACACGTGGTTCTCCCAGGAAGCCGAATGCCTTGTGTTCATACGGAAAGTGCATTCTGGGGTTCCCTCCATTTCTAGTTATTCCTGTTGTGTGGCCGCAGAACTTCAGCTTTGCCCTTCTGGGGCTCAGTTTTCCTATCTGTCAAAGAAGGCGCTTTGTTGAGTTCTATGTAAGGTCCTTTCTAGGCCCAGTTTCTGTATCCAAACTCTGAGGACTAAGTTCCCAAAGATGTCCTCTTTAGGGATTCAGTTTCCTAGGAAATTCAGGTAGGATTGGGCACCTCTTAAGTTGGCTTTCCCACCATGTATCTGCAGGACACTGTTTACACCCCAGCATGAGGATGCAAAGTGCCCTTTACTGTAGAAAAGATTCTGAAAAGTATTGTTTCAGAAACGCTTTGTTTAAACCTGCCTCTCCCCGCATAGTTTGACCAGTTTCTTTGATCCTTGGCAGCTTTTCTGAATCTTAATTTTACAGGCAGTTTTTAAGGGAAGAATTTTGTGCAGTTTGAGCACATCTGAAACTGAGAGAAGTATGCATTCTTTATTAAGTTCTTTCTGTGTGCCAGGCACCATCCTAGGTAGACATAATTGCTCTTCACACAAAACTTCCAGTTTAGCAGTGAACAGAGAGACATGGAGCTAGTGTCCCAGCAAGGAAAATTCAAGGTGTTGGGGAGCAGATAGTAAAACATCTAACAGGGTATAGAAGGGACCATCAGCACTTAAGAGACCAAAAGAATTGTGGGAAAGATGAGTACTTATAGGGGAGATTGCAATCAGAGGTAGAGGAAGAAGAGAATATGTTTGCTATGGATAATACTCCACTTGCAAATGTAGGAAAGTGAGTAATTAAAGAGCTAATAACTGACCCTAGATAGTATAGCAGAGATTTTTTTTAATTTTATTTTATTTTATTTGTGAACATACTGTACAGAGGGGTTACAATTACATGGGCAGGATAATGCATACATTTCTTACCAAGCATTGCAGCCTCCTCCTTTGTTTACCCTTCACATCCCTTCCCAGCCCCCCCCCTTCCCCCCCCCAATCTTCCCCCCCCCCCACCGACGCTGTAAAGCTCATTTTCGACATGACAACTTGTACTTCTCATTGTTGCAACCGGTTCACCTGTATCCTTAAATGACTTGTTTTTCCCCATCTCCTCCACAAGTTATACTGACATCAAATATAGTGAAAGCAGGGATTATACTATGGGGGAGGGACATACAAAGCAACAAAGAAATAATCTTATAAATGCGTTAGAAACACATGCATGAAAGAAAAAAACATTAAAATACATATCTAAGGGTTCATTTTTCTAACATCACATTATCTGACCTTTTCCGCTTGACCCATACATATATTAGATATTGCAAATAAGGGAAACCATGGAACCTATGTTTCTTTGGGCCTGGCTTACTTCACTTAATATAATTTTTTCCAAGTTTTTCCATTTCCTAACAAATGGGGCAATGTCATTCTTTCTGATGGAGGCATAGAATTCCATTGTGTATATATACCACATTTGCTTGATCCATTCATCTACTGAGGGGCATCTGGGTTGGTTCCATATCTTAGCTATGGTAAATAATGCTGCAATAAACATAGTCGTGCTGGTAGCTTTAGTGTGGTCTTGTTTGTAAACATTTGGGTGAATGCCCAAAAGTGGGATTGCTGGGTCATAGGGGAGCTCTATGTGAAGTCTTTTGAGGAACCTCCATACTGTTTTCCAAAGTGGTTGAACAAGTTTACATTCCCACCAACAATGAAGTAAGGTTCCCTTCTGTCCACATCCCCTCCAGCATCTGTTGTTGTTAGAGTTCTTGATTTTTGCCATTCTAACTGGAGTGAGGTGGTATCTCAATGTTGTTTTGATTTGCATTTCTTTTATGGCTAGGGAAGTTGAGCATTTCTTCATGTGTCTATTGGCCATCCTTCTTTGTTGTTGTTTCTTTGAGGATTTGTTGTTGGGGGATTTAATTTTTTGAGTTCCAAGTATATTTTAGATATGAGACCCTTGTCCATTATATGGCTAGTGAAGATCTTCTCCCAATCCGTGGGCTTTCTATTGATCTTGCTAGCTATGTCCTTTGCCATGCAGAAGCTCTGCAACTTTATGCAATCCCATTTGTCCAACCTTTCTTTGATTTGTTGTGTTTCCGGGTCTCTATTCAGAAAATTTCGGCCTGAGTCAAGGAGACCTAGGGTTTCTCCTATTCCATCCTGTAATGTTTTCAGAGTGTGGCGTATAGCAAAGATTTCAATGATCTTCTTTCACTTTTTTCAACCTTGCTGTGAGAAACATACTAATGTTCCCATTTCACAGATGAAGAAACTGGGGGACAGAAAAGTCAAATAACTTACCTATTTTGAGCTTTGAGTGACAAGTCATTTGGGCTCCTCTATACCATATGTGTGAATTCATTTTGCCTCAATATTGTATAACTTAACATAAATAACAGATATCATGGAGAATAGGAAGCCACTTAGGGGTTTTCATGCAGATGCACACTTTGGATAAATAATTCTGGTTATAGTGTAGTCTGGAGGAAAGTTCATTAATTAGGAGTAGTTTGGTGAGCTATGATGGTGTCTAGCTTAGCTTTGATCTGAGAGAAGCAAATACGTTCGAGATGTATTTTTGATGATAGGATCACTAGAAATGGTTGATTGATTCTATGAAGATGGGAAAAATGGAAATGTAATTAACCTAGGTCTCACTGTTAGTTGGGTTAGGACTAATTGCTGATAACTCAAAGCACAGTTTAGAAGGAAGATGACTTTACTTTGGAGCATGACACTAGTATAACACAAGAATAGAAATATCTGATAGTCTGAGATACAATCTGTCTCTTAGGAAAGAAATCAGTGTCAAAGTCCATGATGTGGGTATCAGCTATACATGTAATGATTAAAGCTATGGAGTAGATGACTTTGCTCAGGTATAGAGTGTAGATTATGAAGGGAAGATCTATGACAAGTCTAGAGACAAACCTGGATAGATTGTCTAGGTATTCTCATAGGCCAAATCACCTGTGTTGATCTTAGCATCACACAAGTTGACCCTTTATTGAGAAAGTTTTGTGACTACCTGTGTAGTATGGGCATGCAAAAGGATACAACCTTGAAAACTTCAGTAATGGAGATGTGTAATTGCAGAAGTAGGGCTAAAGTAGTTTCTTCAAAATGTTCTTTGAAATTCCCAGAAACTAGGCTACAGATATGTACCTTTCAATTCAAAATAACACTTTGAAGTCTATAGATAAACTGTTTTAACTTAGCAAAAATTGAGACAATAAGCATGACAGGCACTATACAAGTACAATGCAAGTGCCTTAGGAAATACAGATAGAAAATGTTAAGGTAATTTCTTGAATGATCGATCCAGACTGTGTATTAAAGAAAATAGGGCTCCTTTGAAACCTTTAGACGAGATCATCAAAGAGGACAAGTATTATGCTGTGTTCTTTTATTTTAGGTATAAAGGATTCAGCTAGGCATTTCTTGGAGGTAGTTCTGCTAGTGATTATTACAAAGTGTGACTATAAGATAATAAGGCTGCTTTCCACATACCACAGAAGAAAACTGACCTAGTCTGTTGGATGTTCACGTGCTTCAGCTGTTTTTTCTTAGCATTGTATGGTAAGCTTAAATCATTATGTAGATAACAATAGCATATTATAGACCCTTAGAGAAATCTCAGGAGCTTTGTTGTTATTAGAGAAATGGCAGTTGAACATAGGACTCAGTGAAACTTGCTTTGCCCATTTACAGTTGTTGAAATTAGCTCAGGTGTTGAAATCTTGTGAGTTACTCGCTAGGAAGACTTGGCCTGGGATAAGTGGCAATGTATGTTACTGGTGTAGTTGGCACAAAGCTCTAATTTTTGGTGGTGAGTTTTTGTTTGTATTTTGTTTTAATTGTGGGGGGAATGTCTTTTATCTTTCTGTGAAGTCTTTAGAGCCAAGTTAGGAAATCACCAATCGCTAACTGAACATTTCTGTCTGATTACCACAATGAAAGATTCTTAAAAACATCACTGTAGCATCTCAGAATGGATAGAATTCCAAATTACACTATAATTGCTTTTTCTTTATAAACTATACCATTGGTAATTTATTCTCCAATTCATGTTGTGTTTTTGTGGGGGGGTTTTTTGGGGGGGAGCATCTCAGAATACATAGAATTCCAAATTACACTATAATTGCTTTTTCTTTATAAACTATACCATCGGTAATTTATTCTCCAATTCATGTTGTGTTTCTGTGGGGGGGGGGGGTGGAGGGGAGGATGGGTGGTTGTTTTGTTTTGTTTTTTGCCAGTCCTAGGGCTTGAAATCAGGGCCTGAGTGCTATCCCTGAGCCTCTTTGTGTTTAAGGCTAGCACTCTACCATTTGAGCCACAGAACCACTTCCAGCTTTTTTGGGTAGTTTTTTGGAGAAGAGGCTCACAGGGACTTTTTTGTCTGAGCTAGCTTCAACCTGTGGTCCTCAGATCTCAGATGCCTTAGTAGCTAGAATTACAGGCATGAGCCACCCATACCCAGTTTATGTTGTAACAGTAATTTTCAAAACCATATATCCTATCATTTGTAGGATTTTATTTTAAATCCATATCTGTGAGTTTTGTAAAATTCTCTTTAAGCCACTTAGTTTTTCAGAGGATTGGTTTCCTTGT